GAAACTTGAGAGCTTGGGGGGCAGATGAAACATCATGTTCAAGGTTCACCAGATTGTCAACATCTGGTACCAAATGGGTTCCCAAACTGGTACACATTCTTCGGTTTTTGTTGGAGCTTTTTTTTATGCGATTTGTTCGGATTAACAACCGGAACAAATTGGTTCGCTAAAAGATTACCAATTATCCCGTGTGCTACGGCTGGCATCTTTTCGTGTCGAAATTATATTAATATGGTGTAAATCCTTTTTTCTGCTTGCGTGCGCAAAGTAATCACTTTGCACACTCATTTGCGTGCGCAAAGTTGAACTTTGCGCACGGAAACTCTTTGCGCACTCATTTTTGTTACCAATAATTACCATAGTTATACTTGGAGTTTTCAATGTGTTGATGTTTTCTGAATAAACTAATATTCAAAATGAAGGGTTTTAGTTGAAATTAGAGAGAGCTTAGTTAACATGATGTTTCCTATCAAAGGTGTCCAAATTGGACCAGCCTGTACTGTTAAATTTTTGATATTTAAGAGACTCTCATGAAAATATTCTTGCTGATTTTAAAAATTCCAGAAGATGTAAAAAGATTTTTAAGGATTTAATTTAAAAGACATTCTAAAGAATTCCAATGGATTTTAAACGATTTTTGAAGATTTTGATTTGATTGATTTTTCTAATATTTTAACAATTCAGTCTACTTTTTTAAAATACTCGTAGAAAAAATATTGTTCCTAACACTTGCGCAAAGTGTCTTTCCCGCACTCAAAGCTTATCCGAACTCCGCTTCGCGTCGTTCGTCTAACTGCTTTTTCGTGCGGGAAAGTATCACTTTGCGCACTTGTTAGGAAAATAACTATATTGGATATAGTTTACGTAGTGTCAGGTAAATTATATGTCTGATATTATTTTCTATATTTTACTGGAACATTTATTTCAGCTGTATTTATACACAATAAAACCGAAATCTGTCTTGGAGTTGTTTCTGTTCCCAATTCGCCACTGAACCACCACCCCTTAAATTCGAGTTCCGTCTCATCTTTGGCGCCCAACGTGGGGCCGTCAGCAATATCAGCGGAAACAAAAAAATTTTGGAAAATCTGGATTCCAAAGCTGAGCGAGGCACCTTTCATGTCAGTCATATGCGGAGATATGTTCCACCGAGTGGATAAGCGGAATGAAGCTCCTGCGTTCCAAAACTTATGGGAGTCCGAGAGCTTGGGGAACAGATGAAACATAATGTTCAAGGTTCACCAGATTGTCAAGATCTGGTACCAACTGGGTTCCCAAACTGGTACACATTCTTTAGTTTTCGTTGGAGTTTTTTTTATGCGATTTGTTCGGATTAACAACCGGAACAAATTGGTTCGCTAAAAGATTCTTAAATATCACGTGTGACTAGCATCTTTTCGTGTCGAAATTATATTAATATTGTGTAAATCCTTTATTGGATATAGTTTACGTAGTGTCAGGTAAATTATATGTCTGATATTATTTTCTATATTTTACTGGAACATTTATTTCAGCTGTATTTAATTTATACGCAATAAAACCGAAATCTGTCTTGGAATTCTTTCTGTTCCCAATTCGCCACTAAACCACCACCCCTTGAATTCGAGTTCTGTCTCATCTTTGGCGCCCAACGTGGGGCCGTCAGCAACATCAGCGGAAACAAAAAAAATGTTACTGCTTTTCACTGGCCATTTTAGGGTTGAAAAACAGGTCAGTTTTGCCACGTATGTTTTGGAAAATCTAGATTCCAAAGCTGAGCGAGGCACCTTTCATGTCAGTCATATGCGGAATGAAGCTCCTCCGTTCCAAAACTTATGGAAGCTTGAGAGCTTGGGGGGCAGATGAAACATCATGTTCAAGGTTCACCAGATTGTCAAGATCTGGTACCAACTGGGTTCCCAAACTGGTACAGATTCTTTAGTTTCTGTTGGAGTTTTTTTTATGCGGATTAACAACCGGAACAAATTGGTTCGCTAAAAGATTATCAATTATCACGTGTGCTTCGGCTGTGGCTGTGGCCCTCGACTGGGAAGGAGAGAGAACCACATCGCCCTCGACTGGAAAGGAGAGGGAACCACATCGACCTCGACTGGGAAGGAGAGGGAGCCACATCGCCTTCGACTAGGAAGGCAAGGGAGCCACATGGACCTGACTTTCCATGCCCTCTCCATTGGTGTCGACCTCTCAGGGGAAGGGGCAAGTGCAACCCTAGGGACAGCAGGAGAAACTCTCAACCGTTTGTGTGACAGTGGAGTTAAGGCCGGCGTGGGGGACCCTCCCACTTAGTCCGGACCCCAACGGGTATACATTTCTCTTCCGGAACCAAAAACCGAGAATCCACCAGCGTAACAGCGGCCAATTGCGAAGAACAGCGCGCTACCATGGGATTGTACCGGGAAAAGCGAACGGACTTTTGTTAGCCAAGTTCCTCAGCGTACTGAGGGTGGGACGGTCTCCCATGGGTGAGGAAGGGACACCAGTTGGCTTAACAAGTACCGTACAATCATACCATTTACTAGTATTTCCAGTCTCCTTTCCCAATATGGGGTGCAATGTCGACTTAGATGTCAATGTCAATTTCTCAAAAATCTTCAATCTAGCAAGATCAAATGCCAGAAATCCGCCCATATTACTAAAGATAGGTCAGTAACAAACCGATCTCGTAAACTTCCCTATAAATTTAGCACCATCATATCGCTCCTTTCATGCCATAAATCCTAATAGCACTTTCATGACGCGTCTTTTTGTAAAGAAACTGTATATATTTTCTCGTAAATATGCTACTTTTCCCTTTTCTAACAACGCAATCATTCCGCGAGCTTGCCCGGCCCCGAACGTTCGCCCATAAATTTAAAGAAGTATGTAAAAGCAACCTTTGGAGATTTATGGTAAATTTCGCGGGTCGAATTTAAAAGCACATAAATCCGACATAAAATTCTCAATTTTTATTCATTTGATGGGAAAGGTTCCCAGGAAATAGTCGTAAATCGTAAATAAATGAAAAACAAGCTTCAAAATTCAAGATAATAGACTGATTGGAAGAATATTAACACCATAAATTACAAAGAAAAAAGACAAGAGCGCGGCATCTTTTATCATTAAAAAAGCTGTTTATTCTGTAATCTCTAAATCACTCGCTCTTTTTCCAAACAAAGTCGTCCCGCTGCTCGTTACCAAGAGAAAATCCGGCCGCAATTTAATTTAACCCCGAAATAAAAGCTTTAATATGGAATAAATTCGCCCCCCGAGTTCTTTTCAAAGGAGGTGTTAGATAGGGGCAATTCCTCCTCTCTTTCATCCATCCCTTGACGCGGCGCTGCGGCGGTATTGAAAAGCAAGCATTCGAATGTTGTCATGCCAACCTGGAGAGTCATTGTGGAGAGAAGAACGAGGCGCTCTCCTTGTTTCAGCCCCAGTGCACTCCTTGAGGAATAATCGGGAGACGAGGATGGAATGCACCCGTGGATTTCAGGCACGTATCCAGGAAATACTTGCGGTAACAAAATATTCTTGAAGTTTACAACAAGTAAACTCTTATTGGTGAACTTGAACTATTATGAACAATACTATGTTGCTAGAAGCAAAGAAAGAACACATAATCAAATATTATAACTCTATTTCATCCAGAAAAATGTTATCGCTATATTTGGGACTTTTCCCTGTGTGTTCCTCCAAGTATATTGATCTTTCCCTTGTAAATATGATTTATCAAGCGAATGAAATCGGGTTACACGCTCCGGTTCATATTGAAAATTGCAACTTCTCCTCGATTGAAAGTCTCTCGCTTCCCTCTTTCGAATATATTTCGACGGCGACCTCAGTGCCTCTTTCGATTTCGGGTATTTATCTTTTGGGCGCCAATTGAGAAGAAGACCCTCTCGAATCACGATCCATAATTGGGTTTTGAAGGGTTTGTGTTAAGTTTGGCATATATAAATTCACCAAACTACCCTTTCGTGAAATAAATTTGGAGTAGAGTAAGTTGTAAGACTAAGTTTTCTGGCAAAGCGATAAGTGCTATGTAATTTACCGTCATTTTGGTGACTTGCCAGACGATAAAAGGAAGACATTTTATGGCAGTTGGCAACCAAAAGCAAAGTGACGCAACATTTTCATGAATCAAATTTAAAACTTTAGATAACTCTATCTCTAAAGAAAATGGTAATTCCGTTACCGAACGGCTGATAATTGGAGCCAATTTGTCGCATCATTCTTCTATGAGAGTAGAATTCATATTGTCAACCGTGAGAATCATGTGTCGTACCTAAGTAGTGCTCCTTTGGTGATGTACCTACTAGCAGACAATATACGTTAAGGTCCTTTTTGTAGTTGTGTGTTTTCTTGAAGAGCAACCCCTAACCTGAGGTCCTACCTACATTAGCCGCGAGGCGTGTGACAAATGGTGGAGGCGCCGTTCGAAGATCCTGTGATACTGAATCTCCCTATTTAGCATCGAAGTACCTAAACAGGAGCACAGTGCCCAAACGAAATCATGGATTGTCGCCATTGTATCAGGAATGATGTTTGAATGTACTGATAGTTGTTCATAAAAGTGACATTCACCGATGTTTCAAAGACACAGACATAGCCGTATCTCAGCCGATGATACCTGAACCTGCCGTTACCTGAACTGAGAAGGGTACACAAAAAAAAAAAAAAAAAAAAAATTCTATAGGACATAGAAAGAAGGCTTCGCAGCAAGAAGAGGAGGAAAACACACCTGAAGAGCAACCCCTAACCTGAGGTCCTATACCCACATTAGCCGCGAGGCGTGTGACAATATAAATACGTATAACGTTTATAGAGTAGTAAATGTTGAATTCCATCATCGATGGCATGCCTTTATATAAATTCAGAAACATCATTGGTTGTCGATGCGCCAACGTTTCCTCATCTATCTTTGATAAAACTATTATTTTTCCAAGTCGAAATTAAAAACGATAGAAAAGCCACAGAACAGGACTAATATTCATTCGAATAACATTATTTTTATTTCTTACCACTATTCGATTTAACGTCGTCCGGCCTATGGAGATCAGGTTTGGATGCTAACATGTTGAGGGGATGTTGCGCAGGTATCGCCCCTGAAAGTCCTAAAATGCTTGCTGCTGAACTAGGCGGAGCTCCACCTAAACTAGGATGAGGCATCATGGGAATTGGGGGCGCTGCGTGCGCTGGTAGCTGAGCGTGCATTTGCTGCAATAGTCTTGGTAAGTCTGGTCTTTGTTGCTGGAATATAAGAAAAAAAAATTATTCGCATGGGAAAACAAACAAATTGGTAGAGCAATTTGAAAGCGTGAAAACACACGACACTTGACCGTTACGGTACGTACCAACTGGTCCGTAAACTCGTTTAAAAACTATGCACGAAAAAACGAACGAAACTGTGTTCAATTTTTAATTTGACGTTCGATTTTCCGACAGAGAGAGGAGGCGGTTCGGACCAGAAACAAAGGGCCGTCCTGTCAGATTATTCCAGGATTTAAAAGGTCCCGCTTAGGGACGGTGATAATCCAATTAGTATGCAACGCGGAATGGTCTACGAATGGAGATAGGCAAAACTTGCCATTTTAAATATAGAATCGTTTTAAATTATGTTTCTGGATCACCTCCTTCAAGCAAAAGAGTGACCATTTTGCTATGCATAAAATCATCAAAAAGGCATAAATACATAGGATAAGAATCCTTCATTGGATATAGTTTACGTAGTGTCAGGTAAATTATACACTCAACCAAATAGTAGCATAAATAAAAAGAAGTTGTTCTTAGATTTAATGAACAATTCATTAAAATCGGTCCAAAGAACGGTTTCTTTGATTACATGAACTCTAGGTTATTGAAGTATGAACAATTTCTTAATTCCTATTTCGATTCATCTTGTGTATGAACAACGAACATTAAGGTATGTAGTAAGGTTTTTGTATTAATGAAACTTTTCATAGTAACAATAAACATCGTTCTTAGTTTATATGTACTTTTTCATTGTCCTGATGAACAGACGGCATAATATTAATGAAGCCCAGATATAATTTGATGAAACCCTTTCATTGTATTTATGAATCACAGTCTTGAATACTAAGAATTGCATTCATTATATTTAATAATGACGTTTTCAATAATATATACCATATTCTTTATTTTTATTAAAATAATTTCATGAATTATGCCTTAAATATACTTATGATTTTAAATGGGGTAAAGGGTCATTTTTTATATTTGCGTGTACCCTGTACTGATGAATATGAGCAATAGGAAAAAAGCTTTTAATGCAAAAGTTGCATGGTTTCTTCGTATCATCTTCCAGAATTGTCAAACAAACCAATGGGCATCCCAAAATCTGAAAATTTAAAAATCTAAGTACCTACTTATGTATTTTTATTTTAAATGACACTAACCGTATATTCTATTATCTTTCAAATCCTCCTTAAATCCTGTTTCCATAAATATATATTATATCTATATTTGTTCCAGCTGTTTTTGAACTATCAACATCCAAAGTTTCTAAAATAAGCCACATCAGAAAATAAGATTTGATGCTTTGGCTGGTTTCCTTGCCTCGGCTATGAAACACTAGCTGCGGTATTGAATCTTCTGCTTTTCTACCTAGTGAAACAAAACCATTTAACAAAAATATATCGATTAAAAAAATTACAACTTGATTTAGGATTGAGTATACTTACTTTTAGAGACTTCAGTATTCCTTAGAAATTCTGAGGAGCTCTTGACGCTTTTGTCTTTCACGTTCTCCCCGGATGACATTTAAATCTGTAGGTCATTTCTTTCGCATTCCCATTTTGAGACTGGACCGTCTCCGTGCAAGGCATCCAAGTCCTACCTACATAATAGGTATACATATTATAGAGGTAATAGAGGTATACAACTTACCTTTAGAAAAAACCGGCGACAGGTATAATCGACTTTCTATTTAACACTTCGAACAACACAAAACCGAAAAAACCGACTTGAACGAAGTACGTAGCAGTGCACCCAGAAAATAGAAATGTAATTATTCCTATTTCAACATATTTTTCTATGTCGTTGCCCGACTGCAGCTACCTTTGCGCATGTGCTTAGGAACTGTCTACATTAATGCTATGAACTGTTTCATTGTATTTATGATTTATCTTGATGTAATGGTTGCAGCTTTGTTTCTAGGAATACTTGCTTGTTTTAAATGAACCGTACATTGTATCAATGAATTTCGTTCTTGAAAGGATAATTTTCTAGTAAGGTCATATGAACCATATTCATATTATTCATGTTGATATTCATTTATATTATGAATATTCCGTGGAAGCTCCCATCAAAGAAATTTTCTTTAATATCAAGGTTTAATTTCATAATATCAATGAACTTAGTTCTTGTAACCGATGCACTATTCAACATAGATTCATGTAGATGACTATTCATAACTTGATGAAGCTTCATTCTTTATTTTAATGATAGCTGTTCATGAAATCATAATACTTACAGTTTTCTGTACCTGGGATTAATGAAAATTTCACTGAATCAATGAAAATGTAATTTATGAAAGCAGTTCATTGATATTATGATCAAGATTTTTTTGAGTGTATGTCTGATATTATTTTCTATATTTCACTGGAACATTTATTTCAGCTGTATTTATACGCAATAAAACCGAAATCTGTCTTGGAATTTTTTCTGTTCCCAATTCGCCACTGAACCACTACCCCTTAAATTCGAGTTCTGTCTCATCTTTGGCGCCAAACGTGGGGCCGTTAGCAATATCAGCGGAAACAAAAAAAAATGTTACTGCTTTTCACTGGCCCTTTTAGGGTTAAGAAACGGGTCAGTTTTGCCACGTATGTTTTGGAAAATCTGGATTCCAAAGCTGAGCGAGGCACCTTTTATGTCAGTCATATGCGGAGATATGTTCCACCGAGTGGATAAGCGTAATGAAGCTCCTGCGTTCCAAAACTTATGGGAGTCCGAGAGCTTGGAGGGCAGATGAAACATAATGTTCAAGGTTCGCCAGATTATCAAGATCTGGTACCAACTGGGTTCCCAAACTGGTACACATTCTTTAGTTTCTGGTGAAGTTTTTTTATGCGATTTGTTCGGATTAACAACCGGAACAAATTCGTTCACTAAAAAATTATCAATTATCACGTGTGCTACGGCTGGCATCTTTTCGTGTCGAAATTATATTGATATTGTGTAAATCCTTTATTAGATATAGTTTACGTAGTGTCAGGTAAATTATATGTCTGATATTATTTTTTATATTTTACTGGAACATTTATTTCAGCTGTATTTATATGCAATAAAACCGAAATCTGTCTTGGAATTCTTTCTGCTCCCAATTCGCCACTGAACCACCACCCCCCCTTAAAATCTAGTTCTGTCTCATCTTTGGCGCCCAACGTGGGGCCGTCAGCAATATCAGCGGAAACAAAAAAAATGTTGCTGCTTTTCACTGGCCCTTTTAAGGTTAAGAGACAGGTCAGCTTTGCCACGTATGTTTTGGAAAATCTGGATTCCAAAGCTGAGCGAGGCACCTTTCATGTCAGTCATATGCGGAGATATGTTCCACCGAGTGGATAAGCGAAATGAAGCTCCTGCGTTCCAAAACTTATGGAAGTCCGAGAGCTTGGGGGGCAGATGAAACATCATGTTCAAGGTTCACCAGATTGTCAAGATCTGGTACCAAATGGGTTCCCAAACTGGTACACATTCTTTAGTTTCTGTTGGAGTGTTTCTATGCGATTTGTTCGGATTAACAACCGGAACAAATTGAGTCGCTGAAAGATTATCAATTATCACGTGTGCTACGGCTGGCATCTTTTCGTGTCGAAATTATATTAATATTGTGTAAATCCTTTATTGGATATAGTTTATGTAGTGTCAAGTAAATTATATGTCTGATATTATTTCCTATATTTTACTGGAACATTTATTTCAGCTGTACGCAATAAAACCGAAATCTGTCTTGGAATTCTTTCTGTTCCCAATTCGCCACTGAACCACCACCCCTTAAATTCGAGTTATGTCTTATCTTTGGCGCCCAACGTGGGGCCGTCAGCATTATCAAAGGAAACAAAAAAAATGTTACTGCTTTTCACTGGCCCTTTTAGGGTTAAGAAACAGGTCAGTTTTGCCACGTATGTTTTGGAAAATCTGGATTCCAAAGCTGAGCGAGACACCTTTCATGTCAGTCATATGCGGAGATATGTTCCACCGAGTGGAGAAGCGGAATGAAGCTCCTGCGTTCCAAAACTTATGGAAGTCCGAGAGCTTGGGGGGCAGATGAAACATAATGTTCAAGGTTCACCAGATTGTCAAGATCTGGTACCAGCTGGGTTCCCAAACTGGTACACATTCTTTAGTTTTTGTTGAAGTTTTTTTTATGCAATTTGTTCGGATTAACAACCGGAACAAATTGGTTCGCTAAAAGATTTTCAATTATCACGTGTGCTATGGCTGGCATCTTTTCGTGTCCAAATTATATTAATATTGTGTAAATCCCTGGATATAGTTTACGTAGTGTCAGGTAAATTATATGTCTGATATTATTTTCTATATTTTACTGGAACATTTATTTCAGCTGTATTTATACGCAATAAAACCGAAATCTGTCTTGGAATTCTTTCTGTTCGCAATTCGCCACTAAACCACCACCCCTTAAATTCGAGTTCTGTCTCATTTTTGGCGCCCAACGTGGGGCCGTCAGCAATATCAGCGGAAACAAAAAAAAATGTTACTGCTTTTCACTAACCTTTTTAGGGTTAAGAAACAGATCAGTTTTGCCACGTATGTTTTGGAAAATCTGGATTCCAAAACTGAGCGAGGCACCTTTTATGTCAGTCATATGCGGAGAATTGTTCCACCGAGTAGATAAGCGGAATGAAGCTCCTGCGTTCCAAAACTTATGGGAGTCCGAGAGCTTGGCGAACAGATGAAACATAATATTCAAGGTTCACCAGATTGTTAAGATCTGGTACCAACTAGGTTCCCAAACTGGTACACATACTTTACTTTCTCTGGAATTCTTCTTTCTGTTCCCAATTCGCCACTGAACCACCACCCCTTAAATTCGAGTTCTGTATCATCCTTTATGAAGAGGAAACATGAAATTTTACAAAAGCAACATCCAAATATCACGACGCATCAGACTGTATGCTGTTTCGCCAAATCCTTCAATGGAGATTCTTGATAAAAAAACATACTTTGGTCCTATGATGAAAATGATAGAATCTATTTCAGTTAAT